GTGACAGTGGCCCTGCCATGCACCTGGTCACCAGCGGGGACTCTCTGAAGCAGATCTCTAACCCTTCCCTCCTCTTCAGTCCCAAGTCTTGTCAGACCCTGAATCCTTTACATCTGTCCCCCAAATGTGTCCTTACTAGTTGGTTCTTGTTTTTTCTCCTTCTGTTTTCAAGCACTGTTAGGGATTGAATGGTGTCAGTCAAAAGACAGACCCTGGAGTCCTAACCGCCACCGCCCCGACCTCAGAGAGTGACTGTATTTGGAGACAGGCTCTTTGCACATTACATGCGGGCCCTTGGGTGGGCCCTAAACCAGCGTGACGGGTGTCCTTACAGAAAGGGAACTGTGGACCCAGAGACAGGCACGCACGGAGGGAACACGATGTGTTGACAAGGGGCGGGGCGGTGGGGGGAGACGGCGGTCTACGAGCCAAGGAGGGAGGCCTGGAGCAGACCCCACCCTCCCGGCCTCAGGGGGAGCCCACCCTGATCTCAGGCTTGTGGACTGTGTGGAGGTCCTCACAGCAGCCCGAGGTGGGGGGGGCGCAGTTCTCTGTACTGCACTACCCTTCTCCAGCTCCTCTCCCACGAGCGGCACCCGGGCCCTGCGAGGACCCTGCAGGGTGACTGTGGGAGCAGCTGGGGGACTCTGGGCCTCAGTCTTTCTTCCCACCCATCCGCTGGACAGGCCACCACCAGGATAACCCACCTATCTACAACTCCGTTTTTATCCTGTCACTTCACAGGAAATGGGAACTTTCGGGAACTTCCCCGGGCCCGAGGGGACCAAGCCTGGACTTCCATCCTGCCCTAGAGACCCCCCTCCAGGGAAGCCCCTCCCACGGCAGAGAAGGCTTGGGGGAGAGAGGGGCTAACAGGTCTCTGGGTGGGAGAAACAAGTCTTCGTCCTGAGAAGCTTCCTTACCTGCTGAATGAACTCCATCAGTGACTCCTCCCTCTTCTTTCCCTCTCAGGTTTATGAGGATCTAAGGCAGAGGTTCTTAGCTTAAACACCCAACTCAGCGTTCCTTGCTGGAGACTGTGAAACACCCAGTCTGACTGTAAGCTCTAAGTGTTCCTCAGCTTCCCCAGCACCTACGGGAGAAGTGGTAATACACCCCTGGCTCAGGCACTTGATAGACGGATGGATGACGGGGTGGCTGCTCATCTGTCCTCCCATAATGTGTTTCCAGTTTACGAAACACTGTCACACCACCGCCCAGTCGTACCTTCCCTGCTACCCTGACGAATGTGGCAGAACCACAGAGACCTTCTCATCACCCACTACCTCCGTAAGCCTTCGGCAATTACATTTTTGTCCCTAGGATGGATTTCCCTCCTGAAAGGCCCCGGTAACAACTGCCAGGACAGATCTAATGGTGTCTTTGCAGACCGCACCCCGGGCCAGGTGACGACGCTGGCAGCCCCATCCTTGGCACCTGAAGCAATGCCCAACGCTTGCCTCTTTCTCTCTTTATTCCACACATATTTGCTGAGACTTACTGTGCACTAAGCATTGAGGACACACTTATGAGCAAGGAGACACAGCGGCCCCTGCCCTCGCGGGCCAAGGTCCAGTCGCTGGAAGAGACAGCGATCGATCGTCAGCACACATTCAGCGACAAACTGGGTCGGTGCCTGACAGGAATGCCTCGACCACACACAGCCTTTTCTCCGGCGTCTCCGCGTCTGCCTTGAGCGCCTCCTCTGGCCTCCAGACGGAAGTGCTCCTCAAGGCTCCATCCCCAGTCCTCCTCTTTGCTCTCTGACAAGGACTCTCTCATCCTCCCCTCCAGCTCCAGCTGTAACCTGAGGCATGAACCCTAAACCAAACCCCAGTGGGCAATTCCTGTCACACATCTCACAGACCCCGAACCCTACAACCCACGAACAAAGCTCAATCCTCACGACTCGCAAACCTTCCCTTCTTCCTGAATTCTCTCCTGATACTGTTAGTAGCAACCACCTCCCAGGCACAGGCTCAAATCCTAGTCTCATCTCTCTCCAGTCCCGCAGGGTCCCAGATACAGTCATGGGAGCATCACTTAAAACCGCCAATACCTCCTGTCGACGTCTCTGGCGTTCAAGGCTCGGGGGCCCGGGCTCCAACGTGTCTTCCAGCCTCACCACATACATCTCCCAGTGCTTCAGCTCCAGGCACAGTATCTGTCACTCGCTCTCCTTGGAGCCTTGACTTACAGCATTCCTTCTGCTGGGGGTGACCTCACCCCACACACACCCTAGTGTCTGTTTCTATCATCAATAAATACCAGGGATGACAGTATCATGTAGCCATTCAGACTGATGGTGAGACCGTGCAGAGAACTGGATGAAATGTTTATGAGATAATATTATATAACAAAAGCGAGATATAAAATTATCTGCAAACAGGTTTTATAATCATTCATATCAAAATGCACAACTGAATACATCAAAGTGACAAAAATAGTTGTATTAGAGTGACGAAATTTTCAACGAGTATTTTCATCTTTCTAGATTCTAAATACGTGTTTTTAAACATACACGTACTTCACAATACTTTTAGATTTACAGAAAACTTGCGACAATAGCATAGAGCACTCCTGTATACCCTGCACCAGCTTCCCTCATCACTAACATCGTACATCAGAGTCATACTAACCATGCCACATCATTCCAACATTTTAATGTCGCTTTTAAAACTTAAAAAAAAACTGTAGTTTGGTAAAACCAAGTAAACAGATAAACAGCGGAAAATGTCACTTCCCTCATAACCTCTAACTCCAACTTGGCATCCTAATATTTACTATTTTTCCTGTTACTTCAGTCTCCACTTGGTATGGATTCTTGGCTGCAAACTGGAAGAAATTTTACTTTACTCTGATCTGCCATACATGTGTGCGTGTAGTTAAAGTGGTTAGAATTTTATTTTTTGACTTGAACATTCTGGGCAACGTCTGCTTTAACATAAAGAACCATGAACAATTCTTAACAGCTGAATTCTATCCACATCTAGAATCTAATGCTGGGCACACTGCTTCTCCACCAAGTCTGGAAGCTCTGCTTGGGGTCTGGTCTCCACCCGCCACCCCCGCTGCGTGTCTCCTGCCCGAGAGTACCCAGTCTCCGGGCATTCGCTTGCTAAGGACCGGGTGTAACAAACTCTAGGAGGACGACAGCTCGGTTAGACGGGGTATTGATCTTAAATTGCCAAAAGTAAAGGGTTCTTTATGAAATTTTCTGAGACGTCAGACTTCAGTTGTTGACACCAGGATACCACAATGTTTTTCCTTGGCATCATTCAAAAAAGGCAGCTAAAGTCTTAAGTAGAAGTGGATTTTAGTTTTTAAATAATAAAAATCACTGAAACGGTAAATATTACATAGTCAAAAGAATGTGTTTTCAGCTTGCTTTTAACGTCTGAGCTACAGAAAATGAAGTGTGGGGTTTGTTTTTTTTAAACATTTCTTCCCTAGTGAGTTTTCTTTGTTCTAACTGCCAAGTTGGTTTCAAAGAATCTTTCTGGATATCTCACAGTTAGAACAAATCCTATAGATTATGCAAAGAAATAGCCAACTGAAGTAGCTAGGTGCAGTGTTACTTTTTATAGGAATATAAGACATCTTGTTTTAAAACAGAAGATAATAAAAGTCTCAAATAGGATCCCCCACTTTTTCAGTTGTTAACTCTTCTCATCTTTGAGAATAATCTTACTTGGTAAAGCCAGAACTGCAACACTAAAATTAGAAAAAATACCAAAGCGTCCTAATGCATATTCTGTTCCTAATCTTAAACGATTTTGGAAAATCCCTAAAACTAAACAAACAATATAACAGTCTTGTATCTTCAGAGGAGTCTGTATCATGTCACCAAAAATGTGAGGAGCAAATCTTTACTGAACAAATTAAGCACTGCAAGAAAGGAACGACTTACACTTTAGGTTTGCTAAAAGAGTTCAAATTCAGTCAGGGTCGAAGTCAATCATTTGATCATAATTCGAACGAAAATGCTGAGTATCAGGACTAATGAATAAGAATATGATAGTCACGGGGGTGACTGAAGACCCCCAGATCAAAGTTAAAAGTAGCACCAGGGACAATTTTCAAGAGAACTGTGTTTACAGTTAAAATGGCTTAAAATGGCTTGTTTTTATCAACTATAGTTAGTATAACTTTGCTTTACTTCAAAAGTGATTTGATTACCCAAGAATATCACTATTAATGATTTATTACTGACTGATGTTTTAAGCCAGACTAAACAAAGCTTCAAATTTGTCCTGTTACAAATGAGCTTGGTGTTAGGGAGAAAGCGGGGCTGAACCAGCCCGTCTTGAGGCGAAACATCCTTGTTGAGCCATTTAATGCTGTAAATATAACTTAGCAGGTTGAGGTCTTGTGCACTTTTGCTAGTGAGCTCTGAGTGAGTGAAAAAAGATGAGCTGACGGTACAAGAAGTAACTGAAGCACTTGGTGACCCAAGGAAGCTTCTGGAAGGATGAACCCCAAAAGGTGAATAGCGGGTGACAAGCAGTTCTCAGTCTTTTGGTACATTTTTGTCCTATCTGAAGTTTAAAATAACAAACCACTCTTTTATAATCGGAAGGCAATAAATGCATTTTGGAAAAGGACAAGTAAAACAATACGTTAAGGTTTGATATCAGAACAAAGTAAAAGTTTATAAAACATTACAAAAATGTTATTAAAAACTATCCAGTTCTGCTGTGGCTTAAAAAAAATGTTCCCCCCCACAGCAAACCAAACACATGTAAAAGAAAGCCGCTCTCCTTTGTAACTCAATTACACGGATGTTCTGTTTGGGGCAAATGGATAAATATTTATCTCAAAGAATGGATTAAAGCTACCACACTCACTAAAAGTAACAGCATTTGTACAGACATGCCACATCACTGGATGCTTAAAGATCACTTCCACACTTACTACCTGACAATTCTGTTCTTCATTCTTTATTTGTAAAGCTCTAGAAGACAAAATAAGGGTAAAAATATAACTGAAATTATTCCTACCTGCTGTCGCACGTCAGAATTTGTCGGGCAGTTCAAAGTAATTGGATCACAGTCCTTGGCTAGGGGGAAAAAAAAGACACAAAGCTTGATAAAGAAAGCCCATACTCCGGGGCGTAAGGCCAAAGTTAAGACTCAATATTGTGACTCAGTATATGTGCCTTGACATCTGGAAAACCCAGGAGGGCCTGGACAGCCCAGCTGCACCTCTCCCTGCTCTGCCCCATGGACACGACCCCCAGCTGAACAACGTGCCTTATCAAGGGACTCGGCACAGTCCCCGCTGATCCGGGAGCGGTGGATTTCAGTTCCTTGCCAGACCCCTGAATTACTCAGACAAGCCAATCACATTCTTCCTTGGGAACCTGGGGCCATCAGACCCCTCTTGATAGGACAACGCTTGTCACCCACAGCCCCTGGTTGTTCATTCTGTTCGCAAGTGCAACCCCAGGTGACCCTGCATGGAGTGCAGTGTCCTCCCCCAGGCTGTGGGTACACTGACTCGTAAGCTGCTGTCAACCTCCTCTGTCCAGTGTCAGGAGCCCTGTGTGTGGCCATCCCCACAACCCCAGGGCAGGACCCCTCCCTCACCAATGGGGTGAGCAGGGGGAGGTCAAAACGCATCCCCTCTGATTAACGTGACATCAGACTCTATGTGCTCACTGCTGTTCTGTCTGCTCACCGAGCCTTTCAGAGAGCAGAGTGGGACTGCACTCGTCTTCACAGCTCGCCCTCCTAAAAGCCACACCAAAACCGTTTGGGTTCTGTTGTTAGAGTGTGGACTGCCAGCAACAGTCAAAGGAACATGACAGGTCAGCGAAGTGTTTAACACCTTTCGGAATTAACTGCTAGGAAGGAAATTCCATCCCTAGGTTATCTCACTTGTGTGTTAACGTCACAGCTCCCCAGCTTGTGGTGAAGATGGCACGAATGTGTTAAAAATGGATTTTGTTCCATCAGATTTTAATCTTCAACCACAGAATTCAATGTCACACTCTAAAATTTGAGAGCTGACAGAAATACGGTATGTTCTGAAAGAAACGTTTAGTGTCATGTAAATGTTTGGAGTTACGAAGCCTTGAATGGAGAACCATTTAACTCACAGTTCAAAAGTTAAGACTGAATGACTGATTGATT